AATGACTATTAAAATATTGCAATGGAATATGAAAGGATACATTAACAACGTCTCTTATACACATCTAGATGTGTATAAGAGCTAGATATTATATTATATAGATATACATATATGTATCCATTATATACATATGTATATATAATAATATATAATCCCTGGTTGACGTTTTGTACCTTAATACTATGAGGGTATTCTTTTGCTCTTCCAAACCCCTTGCATGGTGTATGAATAACAAAATTTTAAACTTGCTGCAACCACACAACACCAAACACACGCTGAAAATGATTTGCAATGGCTGTAAAATATTTCAGACCAAAACCCAGAGAGACAAAAAATTTTTCGTTCTGCGCATTTACGTCACATAAATTTCGTGAAATAGCTTGAGTAGCAAGTAAATATTGCTTGTTAATAATAATTGATTGGTATTTGGTTTGTAAAAATGAAATAAAATGTTGAAGGTCCGCGAGATTTTAGATTTTTATTAATTTATTAGTTATTATTTTGCTATATAAATATTTTTATTAATTGTTCTATTAAAATACGCACCAAAAAAAAATGGAAAATTTAACTCATTTACAAAAGCCAAAGTGCAAGTTAAATATGAAAATAATTGCAAATATAGATCAATTTGAATATTTAACCAATTCAGATTTTATAATGTCTTTTAATTTATTCTGCTTGTGTTTTTTGTTTGAATAAGAATCGATGCAGATTATTTAGTTTTTTTTTCTTTTGAAATATTTTTAGTTATATTTTAGTCATATTAAAAGTTATTAATATAATAAATATATTTCTTAAATTTGCTTCCTTTGATAATTRAATTTCGCAGCATTAAGTTTTCGAATTTCAAAGAACATTCGAGATCTAAGAAACAAGTTTTTAGCCTCTAGATCGCATTCAATGTCCCTAGCCTTGTCGATAAGCATTTGAATGTAACCTTTGCATGCATAAAGAGAATCTTTATTGATGTCCGTAAAAWTKTTTTCYATYCGTGCCACTTTTTCAACAAATTGYGGTGTAGRCTTYGTCARACCTCCTTYACTCAAATGGTWAACCCATRTGAATGAATTGTTGCTTTGTTCCGATTCAACAATGTGCGGCAATACGTTCTTCAGCCTGTGGCATAAATAGCCAGCTACATTTTCCACACCATCATACTCCAGCTGGTCCATTTCGTCAATATCATCGCAGTTTACAGTATCGTCTGATTTTGAATCGCAAACTGTTGATAAAATAGTTCCTATTAAATGTAACGTAATGAATTAATTAAAGTCTTTTTAAGTAAATACAAAATAAAATTACCTGTTAAAGGAAAAGAGGGACTTTCAAGGTCAGGTGTATCGTCTTCTTCTACATTAGGGTGGGTCGATTCCGGACTTTTTTCGATTCAGTTGCCTTAGTACTTCCTGATTCCAATGCAACTTTTTGTTTTGAGATCAGATTGCATCTTCAACCCCAACTCCGGCCTTGAAATTTCATAAATTCACCTAAAATCGTGAAATTGTCTACCTAGCGCCTGAAATACGCATCTCATGGCAAAATGTATAAAACAAAAGTTATTTATCACGTCATTTGCTACCGAAGATGTGATCATGGCCGTAGAACGAACCGTTCCCGAGATACGAGCGAAAATACGGCGCGCCACAGCGCAAGGTGAAAATTGTTGCAGCTCTCAGCTAACCTGTATTGGTCACCCAGAACCCACCGCGTGGAGGGCTTCCTCCCAAGCCCAACCCAACCAACCAACCATATATCAGGCTTGTTTTAGTCTGAATCTGTGTCAAATTTATTGATAAAACCAGATTTTGTACTAAACTTTGGAACTTGTTGCCTAGATCTCAGTGTAGAGCATATAAACGATTGGGGGCCAATAACTTTAGAGGATGCCTCTGTCACCAGTTTGACGGTTCTCTCCGACAGCCCTTTTATGAGTTCTTCGTTAGAAACTGAACAAAGAACTGGTGGAACAGTCAAGGTAATAGCCTTCCCGTTAATCATAATAATTATTATCTTTGAAATTCAGCTTTGGCACTTTATTACATCTAACCCTTCCATTTATAGTGCCAGACTCTCCTTCTCTGGCTGTATATATTTAATGACTATTAAAATATTGCAATGGAATATGAAAAGATTCATAACAACTACCAAGAACTTATCAATTTACGAAAAAAACCCAGATGTTATCAGTATTCAGGAAACACACTTTCCATATAACACTAATAATATTATCATCCCGAAACCATATATTGGTTATTTTAAAAATCTAAATGTTAATTCAACAAATGAACAAGGAATTGGTTTCTTAGTAAAGCGCCAAATTATACACAAACACATACCGCTAAACTCAAACATTTTATGTGACGCCCTTCAACTAGACTTACATACAAAAATAACAGTAATAAACACATACATTCCTCCTTGTCAAAACATTTTATTAAATGACCTCTTGCTTCCCTTAACCCATTTCAAARCACCCTTAATTCTCAATGGCGACTTCAACGCATGGAGTACACTATGGGGATCTTCCTCAACCAACTCTCGTGGTAAAAAAATAGAAAACCTTTTAGAGAAAGCCAACCTCACTCTTCTTAACGATGGTTCGGCAACTAACTTTTCAACACATATGACGTTTACCAATGTTGATCTAACCATAGATGCCATTGGGCAATCGATAAATTTCTCCACGGCAGTGGTCACTATCCAATCGTCGTTAACATATAAATCCGAAAAAATCACACTTACACTGAAATATAAAACAGATGCTGCTAACTGGGTTATATTTAAAAACGAACTATCTAATAATTCGATTAATTTCAGTTATTCCAACATCCACCAAGGCGTTGCCATATTAACCAAAGCAATTCACAAAGCAGCAAATACATCAATACCACAAACAAAAGGCATACCCCATAAAAGAAACGTAGCTTGGTGGAGTAGCTCACTCAATAAACTGCGGGAGGACAAACACACCTTTTGGTTAAACATGCAACATGACACTTAACAACGTTATCGCTTTTAAAAAATCAAATGCATTGTTCAAGAGAGAAACAAAAGTAGTAAAACGAACAGCCCTCACAAAATTCACGTCCCAGATATCTTCTTCAAAAAAAATCTGGGCTGACATAAAAAGCCTAACTGGTACACCCAAATCTCCACTTAAATTTTTAGCGACCATTTCGGTAGCAAAYGACGTGACAAATAACTTTTGCCATGAGATGCGTATTTCAGGCGCTAGGTAGACAATTTCACGATTTTAGGCGAATTTCCAAAATTGCAAGGCCGGAGTGAAGATGCAATCCGATCTCAAAACAAAAAGTTGCATTGGAATCAGGAAGTATCAACTCAAATTTTTCGCACTATTAGAAATCCCGAATCGAAAAAAGTCCGGAATCGACCCACACTATTCTACATTGGCGCTAGTAGACAGTATACCCTGATTACGTCCTAAAAGATACGATCTTAGCCTATATTTAAATTCCTGCTGATCAGGATGGTCATGCAGCCCGCCCTTACCGTTCAGTACATCTTGATTTAGTCGATACGTAAGTATGTACTTAATACCGAAACAATTTTCTAATTCCGCACGCAGCAGTTTGAGAGCATTGATTGATTGCATAATTCCTAATATAGTAAAGTTTAGTTAAAATTCAATAATTCAAAATTAGTATATCACTTGAACCTTTTTGAAATGGCAATAAACATTTCCTATTTATTGCCGCATTTCTGTTACCATTTGTGTCATATCATCCTAGATCTTGTCCTGCTCTGTAAGCGCAAGCCCATAGGCATTCATTCGATTGCGACTATCTGCATGTGGAACTTTGAGGTTCATCTCATCGAACCAATCGTTAGTCTATGTTAAGTAAATCAGGTATAAATAAAATTGTAAGCATAAAAAATAAATCAATATTTACTGGTTTTAGTAGCTTGAAACATTCACGCCAATTTTCTTCACCTAAATGACCCAAACTCGCCGCTCGCGACACTGACTGTGCAACAGTATGAGAAAATAATTTTGTTGCCAATTTAATTTTTTGACGCTCCGGTCCAGATACCTCTAAATGACGGGAGCTTATTTTATGGGTGTTAGAAAGGGTATTACCAGACGTCAGATGAAGAACATGGTATATTATATCCTTCGTAACTTTTTTGCCATCAATCAAAAAACCGTCATCTAAGAAGTGGTTYCTTAATAGTTTTATGAGATGTAGAACGTCRGCAAACACGTAAATCTTAGTTACTTCGAATATAAACCTGAAATTATAAATACTTATACTTCAATCTCTTTAAACATGAAAAACTCCAAAGAAAAAAATACTGTTATCTCTTACAAAGAATTGCAAATACTCAGCTTAATAAATGCACCTACCATGGTTTTTCTGGGCTAATATTTAAGCTATTTAAAGGGCTTCTGTTGGTTCTACCTAAATCGCAAACAATACCAACATTCCACTTGAACATTCTTAACAGGTGTTAAGACAGTATCGAATACATTGTCGTAACAAAAAACTTCTCGTAGCTTGTCTTCGTCGAAACTTAAAACGCAAAGTTTTTGTTCTTTGGTCATATGCCTAGTTTCACCAGGAACTTGAACAACCGGCTTTAAAATGCCGTGGTCTATTTCCACCTTCTGAGTCCATGACTGAAGCGTACGAACTGTTGGAAGCGGAAAATTACTTCTTCTTAAAAGCCTATATCCTTTTGCACTAGCAGAATATAGTGTAATGGTGTTGGCTATGTCAGTCTGCGTCCAAATTTGCATTTTGGATCCGTTTTTCAATTTTTTTATCGGACCGTCCGTAAAAATCCCCTTTAACTTTTCTTCAACATTTTTGTAGTAAAACTCAGATTTAGCTAGTTTTACTTTTAAATTGCTTATTTCAAATTCAAGTTTGCCCTTGGCATGCGAAAAATCAGCTTTAAGTTTTTTATTTTCAGTTTGAGGTAGTTTTCTGTGATAAAAAGCATAAAGTTTTTATATAAATA